TATACATAAATGTATAAATATTGAGATAGCCTTAAAAATAACACGTGCCTTGCTATGACTGTTACTAGTACTACTACTACTACTACTACTACCGCAACTGCTAAGCCATTTAACGAAAGATATAACATTAACAACAAATATTAACCACAATTGTTTAATATTAACAAATATCAGAGAATAACACTTATACACGTATACACACAAATAGACGTGAGCATACACACGCTAATCAACATATTGTACAATAATACTTAAAACAAATATGTATTCGTGTAAATATCTCATACATTTCAGAAGCTAATATTTCAGTAAGATTTTGTTTGTTGCTATTTTTGTTATAATCCTCGGCACAATGTTTGTTAAACATTAACGTGTGCCCATCTAGACAACATAAGCCTCAATCAACTCAAACCTAAACTTAAGCTGACATACGGATGTAAGCGTACTTGTGTGCGACTTTTTCTGTGTGCGTTTCTCTTATCTCATCCAATTTGTTGTTTCAACTGATTTTGTAAGCGAGTATTTTATCGAAAATAAAATTCTCTACAACTATTGTTATTGTTACCATCTTGTGTTGAAGCAATAATATTAATTTTATGTCATACTTTGTTTTATGTTCTTTTCGGAATATTTGCCAGGCGCTGTCTACCGCTGTCTGCGCTAACCGGAAGTAATAAAAATGTAAACAAATCACCACTATACGTGTATAAAAACTTTAGTGGTATTATCTACAAATAATTCATCAATATATATATATGTATTACACATTATTGATCCCGTTACTTACTTAATGTTTTCTTTCAAAACATTGTCAGTTTTCTTAATCAACTAGATTTTCTCGATTAATAAAAAATATTAGGATTAGAACCCAGGGAAAAGTTGAGTTTTCGAAGAGGTCCATAAACTTGGAGAAGGAAATATATCGCCACAAAGTAAATTGCAAAAATATACTTGAATTCAATATATCACACTGTGTGCTAATGCCACTCGTGGCAAGTGTCAATCTCCCCTTTTTTTTTGGAAGGAAAGTGGTAAGAATCTGTATGGTTATGAGCAACTATGGCGTACCGCACTGAAATTTAAACATTCGACTCTTACATGCTGGGTTATAAGGCAGCCCGCCTTGCTGTAGGGCACGTAATTACAAACTTCGCCTTTTGAATTCTCTTTTTCATCGCTGGTTTCCAATTCGCAATGCATATGCTTATCAACTTGACATCGATACGATCTTCTAGATAGCTCCACCTTTGCATATAACAAATTTACAAAATCATTTTTAGAAATTTTAGTGAATTTTACTCTAGAGAGGGATGATAAAATGTCCCTTGCGAACAGTCACTCGGTTTAAGCTGCCGCGTAGCCAAACTAATAAAATTTGTTATTATTATCATCATTATGTGGGTAAAAGGTCGTCCATACCCGTAAGCCTCCATGATTAGAATGGTTTCGCATCCACATAAGACATGATAGGACCTTTCGCTTGTCCCTTGGCGGAATGTTCGTTACCCGATACCAGAGATACCTACGTTTGTCAGGTTTTACTTGAAGTAATTATGATCCATGTAGAAGCCGGTAATCGATCATAGATCGCTGCATCTTACTTCCGGCAGCTTATGTGCTGTACCGGAAGATATAATAAATCGTTTTGCTTACCGTGATGCCGCGGTTTGCTTCCGATGCCGATCACCAAAATTAACAACGCGTTACACAAAGGAAGTAAGTAATAATGTAACCCGTATTTTCCCTGAACAATGCGATAAAAAGAGTAAATAATGACATCATTGTCGATTTTATAAATATAAATAATAACATGAAACTGATGCCTTCGGCAAAAGCCATGGTTGCGCTTATGTATAGGTATAGATGTGCTGTACACAACGTTTATTAAATGAATAAAAGCGCTATAAACTAAACATATAAAAATTTTGTAGACCTTGTTTATAAAAACAGACAGATGTACACTAGAGCGAACTTGTTTAAAATATTGCGCTGTGACATAACCACATTTGGGAAACATTTGGCGAAAACATGCTTTATGGTTGAGTTGGTTTTCTCTTGTTTTTCCGAAAAAGCTGATAAGGATTATTTAGTAACCTTTGGATGTTATTGCGTATATAATTTTATTCGCCTTCCTCTTTGGACTAGTGGTGTAAACAGAATTCAAATTTTCTCCAAATATTTCGTGGTCTAAGTGCACAAGTAGGAAGGATACATATTATTAAATCAATATTCATACGTACGTTTTAGGTTAACTAGTCGGTTCTGTATTTGTAAACACTACATTACATTGTTAAGACTGCCTTATGATAGTACAAATTTTTACTATCTAAGCGCACTTGAAGCGACTTGAAGCTACAAAGAGAATAACAGAAGGAACCTCCCTCTTGCAAATAGGGAGGTTTGAGTTTACCAGTATAATGTTTTATGCTAACCAAAGGTTAAGAATAAAGATCTTATAGTTATAAAAAGAAAGTATGTAACCTTTCAACCATCACAACTAATCAAATCGGAGAATCGTCAAATGTTCACCTTGGGGCAAAACAGTATGCAGCCGTTATCTTAAATAAATGCACAACAGTCATAAAGAATTTTATTGATTGCAAGCGAATGTGAAATGAATACTTAAAGAGACCCCCAGAGAAAAAATATTTTACATTTACCACGCCCAAACGTTAAGTTTTGCAGAAATAAAAAAATTATCAAATTGAGGTTTTTTTCCTTACTTTTTACACCTTCCAACACTTGTGGCGCAAGACTGTATTAAGCTTGTGGGGATGTATGCAACATTCAGATGGGTTTGAATTAGGCACTACTCCGATTACACTGATGTCTTCGTAATCACTTTTCTCGTTTACTTGTGTCCAACGTACAGGCCGCAATTTTCTAAAAATTTTGATGCAACTTGATGCTGCCGTATTTTGGTCGAATGGCGAAGACTACTGAAAATGGTATGGATCGGAACGCTTCCCATATAACGGCTCACTTTAAAAAGTTGTTATTTGAATATGTGTAGGCTGGTGGTTAAATAGTTTCTTGAGTTCGCGTTCCAAGGACAAGGGCTTTGAATGCAAAATTATTTCCTTCTAAATTTCGCTTGGATTACCCTAATTAATAATTTTCGGACAACATTTAAATATTCTACACAAATATTTGTGGCCAAGTTACTGCTAATGGACAATGGATTGAGGAAGAGAGTTTGTTACTGCTCCATAGACGAATGAACGGGTGTGAGTCGCTACAACCAAAACGCTGCTTGCGGGCTCATTTCTCTGCGCGGTTTGATTCTAATAGACGTGGCTACAGTGACACATAATGATTGAGCATACATCCGGCGGCGATACCCTAAGTCTTTCGGTCTCTCTTTACGCCTTTCTGATCATCGCATATTAATGATTGCTCATATCGAAGGCAAAAAGAGAGGTTTTTAATGAATTTCTAGAAAGTACGAACGCAAGTAAGACAATGAAAAATATCGAGTGAGCCCACCTTTTGATCGACGAGTTCTAAAATTATTTACAGGTGCAAGCATTCGCAACACAATGCTGCCTTAGATCTTGAATGTTCCAACAAATCAAAAAGCCTGTGGTTTTATTTTAATTGCATGTTACTTACGCGTCACTTGCATTTGAATTCAAGCAGCGAGCAGAACTTCTCGTTAAAAAGTGTACACTTTGGCTGCGTTGACCAAGCAGTTGTAAACTGCATATAAGAATTGCTTGCTTATACGAAATAAAACGCACAAAATTTCTGTCAATATTTCTTGTTATTGTTGTTTTTTTTTTTTTTTTTTTCAATCATTATTTCACATTTGTTATTTATATTATTTTTATTTTTTTTTATATGTTTTTAATTTTATTACCTTAGCAAACTAGTGCAGTTACACAAACGCATGTATAAGAGTTTTTTGTCATTTTAACTTTTTCACCTTATCGCTATCATATGCTTAATAAATATTAATTAATTAAAACACTAAATAAATTTACACTTATTAATTATAAAAGGAAAAATATATATATATATGTATGTATATATATATTGATAATTTTATTTTTTGCTTTTTTCTTTAAACTAATTAAATCTAATTTATATATAAAGCTTAGATATTTAAAAATCATTATATGCTAACTGTATTGCTAAGAAGCCTTATAAATAACATTTCATTATTTCGAGATAATGAAAAATAAACTTGAAATTTATTAAATGAGATAAATAAAAAAAGGAAAGAAAAAAAACGATTTATAAAGAAATGTTAAACACAGAGTAAAATTTCTATGAAAAGAGAATGAACGGAAAAAATTATTTATTACATACATACACACCGAACAGCCAAAGAAACAAAAAAATAAAATAAAATAAAATAAAATAATAATAAAAGTTGTATGTGGTAGTATCACAATTCTCCATTATGTTGACATATATATATGTATATGTGTACATGTATGAAAAAAATTTTCTTTTTTTTTAAATTTTTCTTTTTATGAAATTGAATTTAAAAAGAAACTAAATATTTACAAAAATTACATAAACGATAAAATGATTTTTATAATGTCTTTAGGTCTCTTTAATATATTTTTATTATTATTATTTATTATTGCACAGTTATGTATTTTAGTTTAATTTTATACATATTTTAGATTTTTTTAATATATTAAATTCGAATTTTGATTACATTTTTTGTTGCTGTTTTTTTGTTATGTGTTTCTCATTTTTTCATTTACAAATCCTGCTCACTCGCCACTTGTTGTTGGTTTTAAAAATATTTCATTTATATATATTTTCATTTTAATAATATTTTTATTATAATGAAACGAAATCAGTCTCTTTTTAAAGCCCAACATTTATTTCCGTTAATTTTATTTTATTGTTTTCTTCTTTTTCCTTTTGTTTGTTGTTTTGTTATTAACGAAAACATTTTTTAGCCTTTTTTTGTTTTTAAATAAAATTGTAAATAAATCTTTGGATACGTTTCAACAAAACATCATTTTTATATTTTGTGTTTAGGGATCTGAGTGTATATATATACATGTTAATCTAATTGTGTTCAACTTTTGATAATTAAAAAAAAATTGCAGCTTCGCCAGCGAAACTTACTTCGTGTCAGACAGTTTTCGTTATAGATTAGATTAGTTGCCTAAGAAGACGCCTTATGGTTTAGTTCAAATGAAGCGCGTGTTAAGAAAAAACCCTTTTCCACCTCACTAACTAAAGTTTGTTAAGAGTGTAGGGCCCGCGATCGCAAATCATTTTCAATAAATCGATTCCTTCAAAACCTATGTTCACAAGTCCCAATGTTTCAATCCGTCCTTAAGAGATGCTTTCATTGTCGGCGAAAGATGATGGCAAAACCTATGGAGGGGGAAGGGCAAAGGGATCATTGGAAAAAAATCGTAACCTTTTTCGCACGGCTTTAAAAGTTACTATAATTTATACCTCAATTGGCAAAAATTGGTTTAAAGGTAATAAATTTTAAAGTTTTTTCCGTTTTCATCCGGTTCGCTATAATAAATGTAGAAGCTTTCTATTTCCCTACTACTATGGAACTCGCAATATGCTTTTTTTACCCACAGTTTTTGTATTGCAAAAAATTGTTCCACAATTCGTTGTGAAAGACCGAATTTTATCCACCCCCTGTTGGCCGAGAGCTCAATACTTCTTGAACAGTAGAACAACGTCGATCTGTATAGATTTTGCAGTTGAACGGGTGAATAATAAAACAAGTAAGACAATCCTATTCGGTTATGATTAGACTAAATTTTCATATTTTATACTATAGCGGAGATTTTGTATGCCATTTGGACAGGAATGATGTTCACAGCTTTGGTTGCTTAGGCGTGTGGGCGTTGTAGATACCCGATGAAAAGCTTAGATCGCATTAAAATTCTTCTACTAAGTTGTAGGCGACATAAGGGAAGAAAGTCAAATTTTTACTTCTTTCGAAAAAAAAAAGATATATTCTCAGTTTAGGAGGTACTGTAAGCTTGCCCTTCGCCTGGCTTGGGCCACTTTCAGTATCAACCTGCGTGCACAAGCTGCTATTTCTGCCAAACTCCAAGTACATAGCTCGATTTTGGCATGTTTATAGCAGACATTACACAACACAAAAAAACAGACGAAAGGATAGAGGGATATGCTTAGATCGATACAGAATTTTATACTTGCTGAAGCCTTCTTCTGGCCGTTGCAAACGTTTTTATCAAATGATCTTTCGGTGATAAGTATAATAAAAACGTTTCCGTTAGGAAGCATCGCTATTAACTTGAGCTTATTTTATTTTTTCAACTTCTGACACTCCGATTTGATGCTATAGCATTCAACATGGTTCGTGGCTGGTCTATCTAACTCGTGGCCGAACCTTACAACTCTGTTGGGAAGCAGATTAATTCGTTTACTATCAAGTAAATCTAGATAGAATGTGATTTTCGTAAACAGATAACAACGGTCGCTTTGATCATCCAAGACTTTGAAACAATTCCTATGAATGTTTTCTCAAAAGTAAAGGCTGCCTGAGTTTATGAAGAAGAAAATTAAATATTAGACAAGTCTGACCTTTTGTCGATAATTATCTATTTTATGCAATAAATTTTGTTTTAGTTCTTTACTAATCGGCTTCACATTGCATTTTAATTGTCTGAGTGTATTCGTTTAAATGCTTATTTTGGCATATGCTGCAATATGCTTAAAGTTGATTTAAGAACAACAATATTTGTTCTTCTCTTTTATGCTTTAATGATGAGCGGGTGAGATCATTTTAATGCGAGAGTTATTCTAAATGGAGAGTATGTCAAATCTTTTGACTTTGTTAACCAACAATGTATCATGATTTATCAAATGTTTCATTCTAATACAATTCTACAATATTACCCCAAAATAAAGCCGATCGGATACACACAAAATGCACGCAATGGCAACCGCTTTATCCGATATTCCAAATCTTTAGCCAATGGTGGGTAAAGTTTTGAGTTTTGAAAAACCTTGAAAAATGTTTAATTTTACCAGAACGAAACATTTGTATCATACGAGACAATATTAAAAATTGTTAGTTATTGTGGTCTTAAACGAGCCATTTTCTTCTCAAATTCGAACTCTCAAATAAGCAGCAAATTGTTTTCTCTATGTAAGTGCTATCTTTATCTACAAACTGCAGTTTGATTACAACCGAGAGACTTACTTAATTTTTAGGGCAGCACGGACAGCAAAGTTGCTTTCAATCTTCTTTACAGCCACCACTCATCTGCAAAAAGAGCGTAGAAACAAAACAGAGAATTTTATTATTTATATGCATTTCGTGAAAGTATGAGATTTCTAAGATTTGCTAAGATATATAAAGCCTAAACGATATTTTACAAAATCATTACAGATTATATTTAGTCAGTACCTATGAAGACATTAACCAGTAACCTGTCGGCAACACTTGAAAATATCAATGATATTTAATAAGATATCGTGTCAAAAAGGAAGGAAACGAAAGCTTTTTTCTTCAGAAATGATTTTAAAGACGAGTTGAGAAGAGCAAATTGTTTTAGGACCGAAAAACACGTCCTTATAATTATTAAATTTTCGTAGCCCCTATCAGTTATAATCTAACCTATAACGGTCTTGAACATTTTACTTGGTCTCCCTTGTTTCTAGAACACTTTATATGTTAAGCATATATTATTACTGAAGGCCATAAAAAACAAAAAAAAAAAAAACAAATCAATAATTGACTCTTGGAACACTTACATACTTCACTGCTCTATTACGAAAAGTTTCTTGTTCCATGTCACGTATCTTATGGGTCAGCATGTGCTGCTTAAGATTGCCCTGAAAATATATAAAAGGAAAATACCCATAAATATTATTAAAAAGAATTTAATAAAACTATCATTAATAAAAAGATAAATTGGTCGAGTCTTTAAATCGTGATGGAAAAAAAATTCCTAAAAAAACCTCATTTTTGAAAGATTAACTAAGGAGACCGAGGAGAAGGGAAGTGAGAACTTACTCACCTTAGTAGTAAAGCCACGATCACAGATGTTACATTTGAATGGTCTTTCCTTGGTGTGACTTCTATAATGGATTTCCAAGGCTGAATGGCAGGGGAATGTTTTATAGCAAATGCCGCAGGTAGTGCTACCTCTAACGCCTGCAATTATTTATGAAATAAAAACATGTACGTATATTACAAGGAACGTATTAAGAAAATCACTTTGCTGGATATTATTACAGTCATAGAACAAAAAATTAAAAAGCTAACAAAAACAAGCAATGAAACAAGCTTTTCAAAGAGATGTGTGCAGACTAAAAATTTGTTCAATAGCACAGCTTACCTGGTAGTGCTAGAGGATTGAATGGTGACGCTGGCATAACAGACTGCGCTATCGTGTTCATCGCTGTGCACATATTCTGCGTAGAAGCCGGTGGAAACAGCGGGAGATTGGGAAACATGCCAAATGGCGGTCGTGGCGCGGCTAATAATGGATTTGGTGGTTGCGGGGCCTGAGGTGATGCCGTTGTTACGTTCACTGGCTGTTGTTGATTTTGTTGCGGTGTTGATTGTACTGACGTTACTATATTAACAGGTGTTTGACGAGGAGATTGTATCGATTGCTGTACTTGCGCTTGCGCATGAGCATGAGCGTGAGCGTGGCATGAGCATGAGCATGAGCTTGAGCTGCCTCACGACGCATTTGTTCTTGATGCATGGCCACAACAGCGTTATGTTGCATTTGTTGATGATGTTGGGCAGCAGCTAAAGCAGCTTGCTGTTGAATTAGATGATGTTGTTGTTGTAGGTGATGATGTAAGCTAGGTGGTAAACAATCAACTGCACCGGTGGGAGGCATTGTCGTGGGACTAATTTGTGGCAATTTGGGACTCTTAACATTGCTGCTAGTAAGTGGCGAAGGAGACCGTTTGTTAGTCATTGCAGGTAACGGCGAGCGTGCAGTAATGCTGCTATTAGCTGAAGAAGGTCCCGGACGTGGTGTCAAGTCTAAAGCTCCATGTGAACTTTCAAGAGCTGATCGCACCGGTGAACTTGACCTTAACGAAACCGGATGTTTACTCATTGCATTGTTGGGGCTAGTTGAAGCAGAACTAACTGAATTTGCCTCGCTGGTGACTGAATGTGGTCTAGGATTTGTATTTACCACGCCTGCCGAATCAATTCTCAGCTTTTGCTCAAATAATAAGCCTTTGAAATCGTCTCCTGATTTCGGTCTTTCACTGCTCTCCATATCGTTACTATTGGACATATGCTCCGAGGAGATGTCGTCATCAAAATCATTTTCGCAATCCATTTGATCATCCATGTCACCTTGCGACGATTCAGAACCTAAGGTGCCATTGTGGGGTACACCCATTGGTGCCAGACCTGGAGGTCCCGGCATGCCAAAATGAAATGCAGCCGCCGCAAAAGGATTCATGAAAGCTCCAGGCATCATTGAGGGTGGAGGATCGCGAATTTCCGCTGCTTGTATTTGTTCGGGAGTCAAATCAGTTGGCTCCCCCGTGTGCAAACGTATATGTTGCTGTAAAACCAGTGCATTCGAGTATTTCTTGTGACACACGGGACACTGATGAAAATTACGCATAGGGGGCCTTATTTTATGCACAGCCATGTGAGTCTTTAAGTTGCCTTTTGTTGTAAAGGCTCGCCCACAAATACGGCATTTAAAAGGTCTTTCGCCAGTGTGAGTGCGATAATGCATTTGCAGCGCACTCTTACATGAGAGGACCCGATCACATACCACACATTGGTTGGGATCCGTGATTTTTTTGTTCTTCATTAATTCTTTCAGCTTCATTGTTTCCGAAGAATTGGAAATTTCAATAAAGTTCTCCCAAGAATTATCATTGCTATGCGGGCGTGGTAGTAAAGCCATATCATGAGGTTTCATGGGATTGAAGAAAGGCGCCCGAGGCATGTGAGCAGGTGATCTTATGGGCGAATGCCTTTCCGGTGACAGAGTCTTTGTAAAATTTAATGGAAATCTCTCTATAAAGAAATCGTCTCTATGATGCATTGATGGAGGTAATTGGCCTGGCGTAGGTAGATGATCTAAGTGATTGTGTGATCCCGGCGATGGTTGAGGATGCATAATTGTAGGCGGCTGTATAGGTTGCACTACCGGCGGCAAGGATTGTGATTTAGTGATGGATGTAGGCGGGGTATTAGGTACATGAGAACTTATTTCTTCTAAGGGACATACAGTTGAGGCAGGTCGGGGACTAATTATTTGGTCATTTTTCGGACTTTCCGTTTCGCACTCTATTTTTTCTTCCTTTATTTTCACTGCCAAAGAAGGCGACTTATCATCTTCCACTTCCATATCAGCTTGTGAGTCACTTTTTTCTGCGTTGTCTTCTTTCTCAGTCAAAGCTTCTGTTTTAACTTTAGCCAATTCGGGCGACTTAGGCGCTAAAGTCTTACTTAAATCAGTGGGTGTTTCTTGAAGATTTTTACGTAGTGCAGCTTGGGCCGCAGCCTGAGCTTGCACAGCTGCTGCAGCTACCGCACTTCCTTCACTGAGGCTTGGTGGTATTTGAGGAAAAAATGGATTGTGAAATCCCGACGTACCTGTAGAACTTAACGACTTAAGGATTTCCATTGGCGGTCTATACAGACCCGGTAGGCTTGGAAATGTACTTGATGAACTTGGAAAGGTAAGCGGCAAAGATACTGGGGGCACTTGACTGGGCATTTGTTGTGGCATAGCTGCTGGTGTATGAGATGGCGAACTATCCGGCGACATTTGGTCTAGCAGAGGGGGATGAAATTTATCTAAGTGTTCCGGTATAGGAGTAGCGTTCATGGGAACATGGGGAAATTTATGAGCATGTCTCTGGAAATGAACTTTCAGATTGCCTTTGGTGGTAAAGCGACTACCACAAACATTGCACTTGAACGGCCTCTCGCCGGTATGGGAACGTATATGAATTTGCAGAGCTGAGTCGGACCCGAAAACTTTACCACAGTAGCGACATCTATGTTTGAAAAACGGTTCATTACGATTTTTACCATCACCATTTTTATCTTTGAAAGCAAAATCATCAGCCATATTATTGGCCAGGATGCCTTGTGACGCCGAGTCTAAAACTTCCTGAGCTCTCTTCTGCAGCATTTCCAAGGAGTTCGGTTCAGGTAAGTCATCATGATTCGTAATAATGGATGAAGCTAAATCCGAACCAAACGGCAAAGGCCGGTTTTCGATATCCTTAAATTTCATTAAAGAGTCCATAGTAGACCCTACACTTTTAATATTGCCGTCAATACTTATGCGGCGATTTGCAGGTCTCTCGTCATCTTGCACTTCGCCATCAATTTCACGCTTACGTTTTAGGGATTCTAATGGAATTCCAGCATTAATCAAATGCTGTCGCGCTTTATCTTCCGCCATACGAGCCTCGGCCTTTTGACGCAATTCCAGTTGAGCGATACGCTCTTCTTCTTCGTAGGTGTCTTCTTCCCCATTTTCACGCTCCTCTTCCTCTTCATCATCTACTTCATCCGCAACATTTTCACTCCCCTTACTTTGGTTCATCGCCAACTGTGATTGCAACTGTTGAATTAACTGAATTTGAAATAATTGCTGTTGTTGCAAATTAAATAAAGTCTGTTGCAGGAAAGCCAACTGCTTCATGGCCGCTTCATTGTCTTGACCAGAAGCCCCATTTGCAATAGTTTTGGCAGCGAACTGAGCAATGGCCATTTGCATATTCTGGATAGCTTCTAATGTAACTGGCGTAGCACCAAATTGCGGTGGCAATCCAGCAGGTAAATTGGCTTGTAAAGATGGCGTACTAGGAGACGTGTCACTTTGAGGAGCGTCTACTTCAGTATCCTTGCTTTCTAATTTATCACGATTATCCGATATATCCTCGTCTTCGACTTGTTCCGCGGAAGTCTTTTCAGTCGCATCTTGTGCCTGAGTAGACGTTCTTGTATGACACATGACGTCGGCTTCAGTATCTTGAGCTTGCAATTCAGCTAATTCTTCACTACTGCCTTGAAGCTTATTCAAAGGCTCTTTGCATTTATGCAAATCAGATATGATGGGGGAAGAAGGTTTCACGTTTAAACTAGAATCTATGTCTGAAGATCGCTGTTGTTGTGTAACAGCACTTATTTCGTTATATTCTGGTTCGGATTTAGGAGATTGCACTTGCAGTAGCTGCTGTTCAACCTCAGACATTACAATGTTATTGACGTGGTTTTGATTTTCGGGGGCATCAAGCGAAGAACACTGTATATCACTGTTGACATTAGCTTCTGCGGAATTATCATTGAGGTTTTCTTCAGCACAAGTTAAATCGGTTATATTGTCATTACGTGAGTTTTCATCGTTCACTGCAGGTACAGCAGCTATGGGCGAACAAGCGCCATTTTCTTCCTGATCACTAACGTTATCTGAAAATAAAAACAAATAGCAACAGATGTTACATTTTCTTGTGCAATGCGATAAAAATGTGAAAATGTCTAGGAAAAATGATTCCAAGGCCTTTGGAACAAAAAATAATGATTTGCATGTCAGTAGTTTGATTTTTTTCTCTCGCAAAGATCCTAACAACGTTGTTGTTAACGCAATTTTTATATTTTCATTATTAGCGTCTTACTATATATATATATATATATATTAAAACATATAACTAACCAGTGTTACCTACGTTGTGTGCTTTTTATATATATATATATATATATATATGTACGTGTTTAAGAGTACAATTATTACTGAGAGAAATCCCAAGAATTTTTTCTGTTGAATCAGGTGAACGTGAATTGGTTGTAGTTGTTTTTAACTCTTGTTTAAAGTACCTTTCGTAACTTTAATAGAAACTTCTTCTTGTTAGAGTACACTCGATTTGGTTAGTTTGTATGCCTTCTATGTAAGCTTTGCACCTGTACACAGTAAAAGTAATACATAGTGTCTCTGAAAGCACGAGTGTGCATGTCAGTGTATGTACTGATATGCTGTGCATGCTACAGGTTGCATGCGCAGCAAATGTTTGATATTGTTCTGTTACTTCTTCATTTTCTCCTGATTAACTCGGTGTTTTTCTTGTAACAAAGGCTGCTGCTGCTGCCGCTACTGCTGGTGATGCTGCTGCTATTCCTGTTGCTGTTGCTATTGCTTCTACTTCTTCTGCTATTGCTTCAGTTGCTATTCAGTTGCCGGTTGCTTACTTTCTTGGTGGGTTTATAATCTTATGAAATGAATCTTTTTGCTATTTTGGTCTTTTATGCATGTTGTCGTTCTTGTTGTTGCTGTTGTCGTTGTTGTTGCCAGTATATCGTTATATATGGATGTATCGAGAGGCATATGACTTAATCGTACTGAATTCTTTAGTATTGACTGGCAAATGTGTTTGTGTGCGAGTGTGTGTGTGTGTGTGTTTTTTTTATTCTACTTGTTACATTTGTACAAACATACTTTCAATTGTAAGAAATTGTTTTTCAAGCAGACATGTTGTCACATCTGTGTTTAAAACGTTAAATACATATATATTTGTATGTATATTTGGATATATATATATATACATATATATACGGTTCACTGTTTAGTTATTGCTACTTGTCTTTGCCTCTACAATTAGCTGGATTTAATTTTAGTTGCTGTTGCTATTGTTGCCATTCTGTTGTTACGGTTATTGCAGTTGCACATGTTTCGCACTTTTACTGATTTTCAATTTTTACTGTTGGACACAAAAAACTAATGAAACTTATTAGTTGCAATCGACTAGTCATCTTAAAGCCGTCAGCTACCGGTTGATCAAATTCAACCTATAATCATACATATTAGTATTTGAAACTCCAAGGCGCTATTCCTACAATATTATAGCCAACTTTTGCTTAAAACTGTTACTAAAGAATACGAGTATACGAGATTGGACACTTCGTTGAGAGAGGCCGTGTACATATTCTCTTAACCACACCTATCTTTTTAACTAAGAATTTTCTTGCACATATGTCCGTCATATGTTCATCAAACGATCAATTAGATGTTGGTCTGAAAAACTTACAAAATCAAAAGTTTCAACTTAGAAGCTTAAGCTTATAAACAAAGTGCAAAAAAGAGGTTTTGGAGGCTTTCTCATTGAAAATAATGCAATCAAAAGCCAGCAAAATATTTTTACTTAAATCACATCGGCTTAAGAAAATGAGTGTTTTTTTTAAGATCGGCAGCATCCTAACGGGAGTATAGGTCAAATTTTAAACCAATATGTTTTTGAATTGTTATTTACATATATATTTTTTTTTAATATGTCTTTACCTGTAACAGTTCTTCGAGTGTCAAGGATGAGTCGGACGTTTGGGAAACGACAAGAATCACATTTTTGCTGAAAAAGTTGCCAGAAATCAATGCAATACAAAAAAGGTGCGTCATTGTGATGCAGGTGCGAAGGGTTATCCCAGCGATGGACCCAAACGACACACAATGCTCACATAAAGTTGCTAATTAATTCTTTATAAAGTGTCATACTATGATCGTCGAAGAAACCACTGTGATTCATTTTTTCTAAGCATGGCTTTGTCTGTCGTGTACAGATTTATTGGAAATTCGATTAAAATGTCTAAAATGTCATCAATGATTGCAAATTTTTGTTAAGCTGAATAGATCACACTGCGCCTCTTAGCTGGTGCTCAGTCGGTGAAAAGATAAAATTTGCTGATCTTGGGCACACATACCCATTAGGCTAAAGCAACCTCCCTAAGAGTGTTTGATCATATTAAAAAAAAAAAAAAGAAGTGAAACAAAGTTAGGTTAATATTAAATTCGCGCACTGTTGATAAAAGTAGGGCATCTGTCTAGACCTTAATATTGATAACATCTTCGCATATATCACAATATTTGCTCTGTTATTTCGTTTGCTCTTCAGGCGTTCTATTCTATCTGCAGATTGTATTATTTTACGAGTGTTTACGATAACGTTCATTAGTACTCCTTGTACGACTACACTCTTCGTACAGCCCTTTCTGAACACCACTGTGCCTGCACGTATAGGTGGCAAGCATCCTCTGAGTGGCTTGTTATACGAAACAAAAAAATTTTATATTCATATGATGAAGTGCTCCCAGTCGCTTAGCATGTCACGATTGCCATATTGTATTTATAAAAAGAAGGAAGAAACATGAAACAACTGCACACTTTTATAGCGTCAGGAAAGGATTGGATATTGGAAGAATATTCAGTAGATGAAATTGGAATCTTTTATTTTGCTCTTTTACCTTCTGGCTGACTGCTTTGAGCTTTTTAATTATTTCGGCGCTATATAACACCAACGCAAATTTTTTTTTTTTTTTTTTTTGTCTTTTCTTAAAGAACACGTTTTCTTAATAGGAGCTTTGTCAACAATACTTGATCTATTAAAGAAATCATAAAGCATTAATCAAAGTATATTTAAATCGTAGCCTAAACTCGTTTATGATAAGTTAATGTTTTAATTTCGGCTAAATACGAAAATATGTATAAATATGTTATTAATAAAATTATAAAGATTTAAGAAATTTAAAACTTTGAATTTTTTTGTATGCATTGTTTGTATATATACATATATACACTTCGAAAAACATTAAAGGAAGTTTTTTCAAATAAATAACATTTTAAACAAAAAAGAATTTTTTTTTCATATTTATTTTTCTGATTAAATTCTAGTTTCAATTGTTGGACAACCAACAAATAATTAAAAAAAAATTTTTTTGTTTCTTTTTCTATATAATGAATATTTATTTGTTATGATAATGGTATGCAAATTGAAAGCAAATTTTTCTTTTTTAATAACTTTGTGTTTTTATTTCAAGTATTGTGTAATTTTTGACCCTCCGTGAATGAAAATGCATATATGCATATGAATTATTAAATATTACACTTTGTACACAGTACGTATTTCATGGTATAACTAAGTATTATGTATTTAGAATAATTAAGTAGTGGCACGCTAAAGTAAAAATTTCATGTTTGAAATTAAGTTTGCAACTTAGTGGATAGGTATGAATTATTTTATTGAAATTCTCAGAAATACACGCAACGAAAACCCCCGAAGCAAGTGTACATGTTTGCTTGTATGATGTCCTTATAAAGAAATTAATAGCTAGCCCCACTCTGCATGCTATTGTTTAAGTACCAACTTCGAAGGATGAAGATGTTAGTTAAGCTTTGAGATTTATTACTCTTTTTATTTTATTTTTTTTCTAATATCACCAATCACTCCGGGGATCTTTCCTATACGTGCAACACGGCGAAGGTGAAAAAGGACTGAGGAAAAAGAAGGAAACAGGGAGGTAGAGAGCACAGCCCAATGAGTGCATAGCCAATCAATAAGTTTTACGCCTTTAACAACTGAGCATTCACTGTAGCTGCGAGGAAAGTAACCTCTCCCGCACTTGGGATTTGAATCCGCGAACACTGACTAGGTAGTTGCGATTCTTACCTGCGCTAGGTTACACTGGCGTTGTGGCCGGTTTGTGGATGTTCTTGTCGTAGCGTTTATTATTTTTTACCAAATTTAATACTCCGAAGTAGTGGCAGTGTAACTCTTCTATATAAACTTCATTATTAAATATGGTTCCTAAGTTGCGAACAACACACGCAAAACCAAATTTCCTAACTTGTGACTTGACCGCATCGTCGCTCAGAATATGGCTGTCGTCGGCACTTGTTGTTGCATATTATCAGGAGTTTGAAGAACTTTCCGTCAATTCTGTCTGGAACGTTTATTATAAGAAAAATGCTAACAAGAATTTTATTCAACATATTGTCCGTCACTATTGATTGCTTCTCCCCCATTTTTTGAGGAAAATGCGACTTGCAATGAGTTTCGTGAAGCAATACGCGATTTTTAGATATAGGAATAAAAGTTCTACTTGGATAGTCGATAAGTACAGCGGAGAAAGCAGCAATTTCAGTTTAGCGCTAAGATGCCTCATCAAATTTTGATATGTGCGTAGACAGGGACGAGCGTGCTCACCCTGAACAACTATAAAATAATGACTTTTGTCATGCTGTGCGCCTTTCGCGATTTGCTTGCCTTAGCTAATCGCAATACCTTCTAGTGCTGATGAACAGCCGTTTTTCGTTTAATAGCCGCACCTTTGCTTGCCCATAAAGCAAACACTTGGCATAATTTGTAAGCTCCAGATGAGTTATCCAGACCTGCTTTAAATAGAATTACTTCAATAACTTTGAGCTTTGGCAAGCAACCGAGGAAAAAATTCATATTTTCGAATATTTGAATATCGCAAGCACTGAAATTTTCTGCTTACTTTTTGAATATTTTTTACACAATATTTTCGATCAAGTTACAGGAATTCTCAGAGGTAATTAGAAATATATTGAAATCTTCAAGCGTACATATAATTATTATAGTCAATCCCTGGTTTTCGAACTAATTAACGCTAACTCTATATTTAAA